AAACCGCTGCAGAAGCTGGGCCTCATAATCATGAGGGTCACTACTGATGTAATAATGGAGATGGTGGACATAGCGGGCGAGCTCGGGATGAGGCCCAAAGAGTGAGTCGAGTCCGGAATATGTAGATGGATGAACTACAAGGGTGGTGAATAGTTGTTTTTGACAGGGACTGACTAGAAGGCAGCAAGTTAAGGCCAATGAGCGAATTGTTTCCCAGTCACGACGATCAACGAGTTCGTGCAAGATTGTTTCCACGATATCAAAAGGCAATTCAACAACCATTGTGTCAACGACGTTGAGAGATGTGGGCATTTGTCTCAACGCCCAGGGGAGGTTTCATTGTGACTATAGCACTTCATAGGAGTTAGACAGTTCAATGACAGTGAGTTATTGCGCTATCCTCCACCGTGACCCTTGTTTGCATATACGAATACACGTAGAGACCTAAGCGTTAACTGTCCGAAGTCAGGATCACGTTTTCAGAGACACGTTATCAAAGCATTTGCTCAGTATTATGAGTTGTAGCGTCTACATATCATACATAAAGATTCAATAGTCCTAAGAGAAAAAGTCTGTATATCGATCGGAGAAGGAGGGGGTGGGATAGTCTGTGTGAAGATGTCCATGTCATAATTCATTCTGTTTTCAAGAGCCCTCCTCCATTGAGACGTCGTCATCGAAAATAGTGGTTGACGAAGAGGGCGTAATCTTGGCAGAGCTTGAGGCTTTTGCCTTGCCCATATTTCGAACAGGCTGTTTACCTTTCGAGGTACTTGCGGTGGAAGCAGCGACCCCGCGCGATGCACTATGGTTGGAGGGAGTCGTCGAAGATTCGGCACGCTCAGAAACCTTCTTGACTGACGAGCTGGACGCGTCGTCCTTGGTCAGTTTGATCTTTTTGACTTTGAAGGATGCCATCGCACGATCGGCGGAGGAATCACGAGGTTCGTGAGGGGCGTCTGTGTCATCATCCGCCCCATAACCTGGGTGCACAGTCCTCGTCAGGACTTCGGCGATGCTGTCGCCAATGACCAGGAGCCGATGAAAGTTGATCTGGTAGATCTGAGACGGAAAGTGAGCAAAGCTACAGGTGCAGATCGCAATCGAGACATACTTTGCGCCGTTTGCCCGTCTCCACGCCGTTAAAGTCTTTGACATTCATGGTGAAGCAATGGAGGGTGACGGTCGCCATCACAAGAGTTCCGGTCCGAAGGGCGGCGTATTGGTCCCATGGAGGAATTATATTGTGATTCACATCAATAATTTCGTGTTGGATAAGCTTGCATCCTGAGTTGCGGAATAGGTTGCCCCCATAATCATATAAGCGATTGGGTTCATACAGTTGCCCAATCTTATACTCGACGACGCCATCGGTTTCTTGGCCATCCGAGGAGCTGGAGACGTTGGCGGCTTGTGAAACTTCGACAGGCTCGTCCTTTTTCGACGAGGAACCTCGTGAGCGCTTAAGAATACGCTTGATGGTAGGCACTCGGCTCTCGGACGGGGACGTTTGGGGAGCCTAGAGAAAGTTGATAAGAAGGAATCAAAAAGGTTTGAAGGACATACTTTATATATTGTGGGCGACGTGATGGTAATAATATCCCCAGCTTTGCCAGGAGCACTCGGGCTAAGCCATTCCTTGGTAAGGTACTCCTGTTGCATGTTCAGAAAAACGAGTAAGAGAAGAGAATGGTAAACGCACCCTGTCTTCTTGATCCTGTTCGGATTTGACGATTTCATTCAGCGCGACAAGTTGGTCTTGAAACATCATCGCAAGGTTCTCGGGGCACAAAGACGGCACACCCAACGCGAATCTGTTTTTGACCTTCGACTCTGGTGTGACGTAAGTGGGCTTGAAGGTGAATCGTGTTAGAAAGTTCCAACACCGTCTGAACAGCAACGCACCTTATCCTTGGTCCCAATATAGAAATCTCCGAGGGCGCTATGCTTTGTACCGAGGGATGCAGGCTGGATCTCACCGAATAGGTTGACACAGAATTCGGACCCGTCCTTGTTCTGAAAGTCAAGCCCACGCCAGCTAGTCTTGCGAAAGAAATCTTTGTCGTATTCGCAATTGGCTAAGAAGCCGGAGCCAGAGGATGCAATCAAATCAGAGAGAGAGTCGTAAACACCATCGGATGTCCGATTGGCGTAATGAGCTTGTGCAGCCGATGCCATTGTTGGGGAGAAGGGGAAGAACTCGGTGAACGCGAGCCCGAGTTCTTATGGCGGCGAAAAGGAGAAGTTTGAAAAACCCAAACATCCTCCTTCTACCCTGTTTCAGGCGGGAAGGCTGCGGTGTGGGTCATACCGTTGCGGGTATATTCCAGAATGCTGAGGTCATACCCGCCTCCGCTTACATGGAGGACGGTGTTCAACTGTTGGCAGGTCATGGT